CCCAGCGCTGGAAAAAGGTAAGTTTTTACCCCTTTCCCCCTTCCAGAGCCGGACGGGAGGGGGTCCCTGAGGGTGGGGGCACCCTCAGGGCACTATAGTGCCAGGAAAACGAGTATGTTTTCCTGGCACTATAGTGGTCCTTTAACTGCTTTCCTTTTGCACTGCCAGTGCTCCAAGCCAGCCTTGACTGCTTTCCTTTTGCACTCCCAGTGCTCCAAGCCAGCCTTGACTGCTTCCCTTTTGCACTCCCAGTGCCCAGTCTCCTTGACTTTCTTACTGGAGAGAACAGCCTCACTCCTACCTGCTTCCAGGGAGGAAGCCAGCAATCCCCCTTCACCTGCCTAGCAGGGAGGGGTTTATTCCCACTGCAACAGCTCATTAACTGCAGCTGAGCAGTGGGTTGGAGACGGTCCAAAAAACCCTGGCCTGGATCTATGTCTCCCCAGAAAACCACTAAACTGTGGAGTGGAGCATTGGCCCACCCTTCTCTCCAAATGCTCCACCCCAGGGGCCCATAACTAAACAAAGCTTTGTGTTGTGCAACACACAAACTACACGTAGTTTCCCTGGGGTTAAAAGGCCTATCTGCCTTCACTTTATCACTTTATCATTTTTATTTTCGGCTGGAACCATACCGCCGTTGGACTACTGAATTTTGAGTTATACTCTATATATCCTTGAGTGGGGATCATTCCACTTCACGCATTCCATACCAGAGCTGGATTGTAGCTCTGGAAATTGTGACTAGTACCTACTTATAATTCTTAATATCCAGGTATATTTATTTACTGCACCATTGGATTTTTGGATCTCTGCTTCTTTTTCATATGTTCCACTGAAATTACAAGTCTGCACCCGTGATGAATCACTGCTGCTCTGCAAGAATTTTCCTTACCATTGTGGACTTTATTACTCTGTGTGTAGAAAATAGACTGAGTTCGGCATTTTCTTCTGTGTTCGTGATTTTCTGCACCATTTCGTTCATTTTGGATTTATTGGTTCGGCAGTTTAAAACTACCGAACACCGACCACCCTCCTGGCTCATTAACTTCAAAAGAACCGTCTATTAAGCGCTCTCTGGGCAGCCGGCATTCGTATAGCCGAATGCCACGTGGAACAGAAAACGGCGGCCATCTTGTTTGCATGAAAGGAGGCAGCGGGACGTGGTCGTCGAGTGTCTGGAACTAAAATCGGACATTCGACCTCCCGAACCACCGCTGAAACTACCAAACGCGTGCTTCCTTTAGTTGCCAAACAGCCAGGAGAGCGCCATTCGGTAGTTTGGTGCATACGAAAAAGGGGAGCAATCGCTCCTATGAGCCAGGAGGATCCATTCTGGACTTTATTAGTTTTTATGCCATTTACTGAATTGACCGACCGCACACACTGAATTCGTGGAAGTGTTTTGGGCAGGAGCCTCGTGTGTGGTTGGTAACTTATGACTTTCATACTTTTTGAGAATCTCTGAACCGATCTGGGTGAAATTTTAATATGTTGGTCCCCCAGATCGGGGCTATCAGGGGATATGTAATTTGTGGGGATACCTTGTGTGGAAAGGGGTGTTCTAATTTTTGGGAAAATTGTGTGCCTTATGCCTGGAGATAATTGGGTTATTCCTTAACTTATCTCAATATCTCCCAGGCAGAGAGAGGGCGGGTGTTACTGTAAATCTGTATGCTGATTGGTTATTTCCTTTGTTTACTGTGGGAGGTCCTCTTTCAGGAGGATTCTCATAAAAGCCAGTGTGGCATCAATAAAAATCATTCCTGTTACACCCTTCATGAAGTCTAGGTTCATGCTTGGGGAGTATTCTACTTGCTGGGGAGAATCGTCTTGGAAGCTGCATTCATCTTCACCATTCCTCTACACCCTAACTGCAGTTATAATCACTTATGCTCAGCTATTGGGAAAGGAATAGAAGACCGCAGTACCATAACCACTGCAGGTCTTAACACTCTGGACTAGTGTTAAGTTATTTGGACCATACTATTTTATTTGTACAAAATATTTACATTAAAGGCGCACCCTTCCTTTGTTTTATCTCTAATTATCTATAGGGGATTAGAAGGTACCCCCTTTCTGTAGGTGTGCTGCCTGTACAATATATATATACTCCTTAATTTTGTGGCACTTTAAATATCTGTATGCTGTATGCCTGTGTATGGGTGTTTGTATACCTGTGTATCTGTATATATGTATGTCTCTGCATGGGTGTATGTATATCTGTGTATCTGTATGTCTGTGTATGGGTGTATGTATATCTGAGTATCTGTATGATATATGTCTGTGTATGGATGCATGTATATCTGAGTATCTGTATGATTTATGTTTGTGTATGGGTGCATGTATATTTGTGTATCTGTATGGCATATGTCTTTGTATGGGTGTATGCAGGGCCGCCATCACGGGGTGACAACCATGACGGTTGTCACGGGTTCAGCGGTCCTGGGGGGCATGCTGCTGGGTCCCATTGGGTGTCCAAAGCATTAAGGGCCACCCGATGGGCCCTATATCTTCAGGGGCCTGGTCAGCGCGGAGGCCGTATATAAGCACGACCGGGCCCCTTTTTAAAAAAATGCAGCCGCAAGTAGTGCTGGGAGGAAGTGACTGCAGGTCACTTCCTCCCAGCTCACTCAGCGCGGGAGGTAGAAGAGATAGCATGGAGGCCGCGAGGAGGGGAGAGGCAGCCGACTCCCATCAGCCTCAGTCTCCCTCCTGCAATGAAAAGTTAAGAAACAGGAGGGTGGCTGAAAAAATAGCTGTGTGTGTGTGTGTGTGTGTGTGTGTGTGTGTGTGTGTGTGTGTATGTATGTATGTATGTATGTACAAACATACGTATCTTCAGAAGGATATTGATACCTTAGAGAGGGTTCGGAGAAGGGCTACTAAACTGGTTCATGGATTGCGGGATAAAACTTACCAGGAAAGGTTAAAGGATCTTAACATGTATAGCTTGGAGGAAAGATGAGACAGGGGGGATATGATAGAAACATTTAAATATATAAAGGGAATCAACACAGTAAAGGAGGAGACTATATTTAAAAGAAGAAAAACTACCACAACAAGAGGACATAGTCTTAAATTAGAGGGACAAAGGTTTAAAAATAATATCAGGAAGTATTACTTTACTGAGAGGGTAGTGGATGCATGGAATAGCCTTCCAGCTGAAGTGGTAGAGGTTAACACAGTAAAGGAGTTTAAGCATGCGTGGGATAGGCATAAGGCTATCCTAACTATAAGATAAGGCTAGGGACTAATGAAAGTATTTAGAAAATTGGGCAGACTAGATGGGCCGAATGGTTCTTATCTGCCGTCACATTCTATGTTTCTATGTATGTGTCTGTGTGTCACTATGTATGTCTGTATATGTGTGTGTTTGTTTCAGTATGTGTGTGTTAGTATGTATGCCTGTATGTGTGTATCTTTGTGTGTGTGTGTATATGTCCGATTTGTATCAGTGCGTGTGTTTGTGTCTGTGTGTGTATTCCTGTTGGCTGGATTTGGAGGTGGGCCCTGAGGCAGGGTTTGGAGGTGGGCCCTGGGGGCCCAGACCTTGAGCTGTGTTAGGGGTCTGATGGCGGACCTGGGTGTATGTATATCTGTGTATCTAAATATGTATGTCTGTGTATGGGTGTATGTATATCTGTGTACCTGTATGTCTGTGTATGGGTGTACAGTGAGGGAAAAAGGTATTGGATCCCCTGCTGATTTTGAACGTTTTTCCACTGACAAAGAAATGATCACTCTATAATTTTAATGGTAGATGTATTTTAACAGTGAGAGACAGAATAACAACAACAAAAAATCCAGAAAAATGCATGTCAAAAAAGTTATAAATTGATTTGCATGTCAATGAGTGAAATAAGTATTTGATCCCCTATCAATCAGCAAGATTTCTGGCTCCTAGGTGTCTTTTATACAGGTAACGTGCGGAGATTAGGAGCACTCTCCTAAAGGGAGTTCTCCTAATCTAAGCTTGTTACCTGTATAAAAGACACCTGTCCACAGAAGCAATCTATCAGATTCCAAACCCTCCACCATGGCCAAGACCAAAGAGCTGTTCACGGATGTGAGGGACAAAATTGTAGACCTACACAATGTTGAAATGGGCAACAAGACCATCGCCAAGCAGCTTGGTGAGAAGGTGACAACAGTTTTTGCGATTATTCGCACTTGGAAGAAACACTAAATAACTGTCAGTCTCCCTCGGTCTGGTGCTCAATGCAACATCTCACCTCGTGGAGTTTTAATGATCATGAGAACGGTGAGGAATCAGCCCAGAACTACATGGGAGGATCTTGTTAATGATCTCAAGGCAGCTGGGACCATAGTCACCAAGAAAACAATTGGTAACACACTACACCGTGAAGGACTGAAATCCTGCAGCGCCCGCAAGGTCCCGCTGCTCAAGAAAGCACATGTACAGGCCCATCTGAAGTTTGCCAGTGAATATCTGAATGATTCAGAGGAGAACTGGGTGAAAGTGCTGTGGTCAGATTAGACCAAAATCGAGCTCTTTGGCATCAACTCAACACACCATGTTTGTATGAGGAGGAATGCTGCCTATGACCCCAAGAACACCATCCCCAATTGTCAAACATGGAGGTGGAAACATTATGCTTTGGGGGTGCTTTTCTGCAAGGGGACAGGACAACTGCACAGCATCAAAGGGACGATGAACGGGGCCATGTACTGTCAAATCTTGGGTGAGAACCTCCTTCCCTCAGCCAGTGCATTGAAAATGGGTCATGGATGGGTATTCTAGCATAACAATGACCCAAAACACACAGCCAAGGCAACAAAGGAGTCTCTTAAGAAGAAGCACATTAAGGTCCTGGAGTGGCCTAATCAGTCTCCAGACCTTAATCCCATAGAAAATCTGTGGAGGGAGCGAAGGTACAACCCCAACTTGCAAGTCCCTTTAAATAGGGCTAATCCCTAAATTCATTGGTGGTTCCATGGATTTCCTCCATCCGAAATCTGGTTGGTCCGGTCCATTACTTTAATCACTTGTTGTCCTTCAGTGTTCGTCTCTCCTTTCTCCCAGCCGGTATCCATTCACCTGTTGATGGGAAAAAGAACGGAAGTGCGTTCAACCATGCACTTCCGTGCGTTCCATTGGTAATATCCCATATGTTGCAGGGGCCGATATGGCTGTGCGTTCCACCATTGGATATAATATCATTGCATTTGTCCTCTGGTGGTGGCCAGGAGAAATACATGGTACTAACTTACAAGAATGGAAAAGCAATTGTAGTAGAAGTCAATTTCTCCTAAAGATAGGCTTTCATTATTATCATATCACACTCTATTATTCTTCTCAGAGACATAACATTTGTAATAACTTACAACATGTAAGCATTTAATAAAATGTATGAAAAATATCTATTTCCTTAATGCATTTATGAATTCATATATTTGATCATTTAAAGTGACAGGTGCACCCACAGGAAATTAATCCTTCAATTAACCATTTTTCCATATGAATTTCTTATGTTCCAAACAATGCACAAAATAAAATTAATATCATATACAAAACCACACATACCTCACCTGATAATCTTATTTGATCATAATTCGTTAGTTCATAATCTAGCATATTGTTGTATTGAACATTCAAGTTAGAAGGGGATGAAAAAAAATATATGAGAAAAAAAAATAAGAAAAATACAGAGAAAAAAAAGACAGAAAGAATGACAAGCAGGGCAATCTCTAATTACAAAAAGCAGACCAGGTCTATGTCCACATTCAGTGCCTTAGGTTCCAATGTTTGAAGTTTGTGAATCCAGTAGGTTTCACATTGTGCTAGTTTCTTAAACCTATCACCTCCTCTCCAGTATGGCATCAGCTTTTCAATTCCAATATTTGACAATTTAGAAAGAGAAATATGTGCAGGAATTGCAATGAATTGGGACCGATAGTCTAGATTATACTGGTTGATAAATGCAGACCTGAACATGTCATTAGATGGTTTAAGGTTGAGTTTGTCTGACAATAAATCATTCCTCTCTACTTGTGTAGTAAGTCGAAGCTTATTTTTAATATGTTGGGGTCTGGAGGCTATTAATTACTTTATGACCTTGGACCCAAACCTATCTCAAGGTTTGAGGGAGTTTATATTAACTTCTGTTAAATTTATTTTGGAGCACAATTGTTTTTTTTTCCATGGAGATTTTTTATTTACAAATCACGGGGAACGCCATAGGCACCGGTTTTGCCCCCAGTTATGCCAACACCTACATGAGGAGATGGGAGGATTTATTTGTGTGGTCTTGCCATGACTGGAGGGAAAACCTGGTGCTCTGGCGGAGATATATAAATTGATGTTATTATAATTTGGAGAGGGTCTTTGTAGCAGAGAGCTGGTCTTCCACAGGTTAACTCCACTAAAGATCCCAGTGAGGCTCAGGAACAAGCAATAAAATACCATAGAGTAATAATCCCAGCAAGCAATATAATCCACGAATATTCCCATACAGATCCCAATGACTGGACGACACAGCATCAGGAGCAAAACTGACTTTTAATCCACACAACCTCCTTTTAAAGCATTATCCCATGCAAGGGAGGGATTCACCATAATTAAGACAGTAGCCAATAAAGTAACAGTTACCTCCCACACATCTCCTCCTCTCAGTGTGACACATAATCCCATTAAACGTACTGTAGTTTTCCCTGAATTCTGGATGTACCCCAAAACAGTTAGGTACAATGAGCTAAGTGGCACCCCCTGGTAGCCCTGATCTGGGTGACCAACATATCCAAAATTCACCCAGATCAGACCAGGGGTTCGGAAGTTAGGTGGAAGAGACAATTTGACCGACAGCACACGAGGTGGTAGCCGAAAAGGGTTCCATGTGTTTTGGCCCTGCGGTCGGTCTCCGTTCGGGAGGTAAAATACACAGAAATACATGACATCCACTATTAAAACTGTATTCGCATGAATCCCATTGTTCGGTACTTTTAACTCACCGAACGAGGGGCTGATTAGCCCTTCCTTTCGGGAGTTACGGAGCTCTGGAGGTCTCATCAGTGTTCGGGTAATTGAGTGTCCGATTTAAGTTCCAGACACTCGACGACCAAACACCGCTGAGGTTTTTGTGCGTAAGATGGCCGCCGCCATGCGTTCGTATGCCGAAAGGGGGCCATCCAGATACATGCACAAAGTACCGATCATACCAATTAACCTGCGGTTAGAGAAGTGTGAAAGCCTAATAGGGTGCACACTTCTCTCTGGGGTGGTCTACTGGTTCCGTAGTTTTTATTCGTATGGAATACGGATGAAAACTACCGAACAATCATACGAATTCTACATACACTTTTAGCTATACAGGAAAATAAACACACAAATTGCATTTTTAACACAGTCTTTTAGGAGAGCTGTAATACCATCCGCTACAGTCTTCTACTATTTTTCAGAATTTTGTTGATTTCCTTGATCACAACCAATGTAATTTAAAATTCACTCTGGTAAGAAATAAAAATGAGATAAATTTTTCTGATTTAACTTTATTTTGTGAGAAGGGTCAGATAAAGACTAAGTGCTTCTTCAAGCCGACCAATGGCAACAGGTATGTTCACTAGACATGTGCAATTCATTTCGGTCCGAATATGAATTTGGATGAATTTCGTGCAATTTGGACATTCGGGTACTTCCGAATGTCCGAATTGCCGAGGTCCCGAAGTTCAGAAATTACCGAATTTCCGAAGTGTCGAAGCACAGTATTGCCTAAGTACTAATATACTTACCCAGTGAAAGAAGGAGAATGTTACATTGTATACAATTTTAAATAAAAAGTATACAAACATAGCCAGGATTCAGCTGTAAGCATTTGCAACACTTACAACAATCAAGTAACACACATTCCTATAAAATGTAAGTTACTTAGCCAGTCAGTGTAATGACAGAATAAGTAGATAACTCCCTAATTCCCATGGTATTAGAGAGCTGTAAGGAAACCAAGTAATTTTAAACCTAATTCGGTAGTTTCCTCCCGAACCGCCAGAGCCTTAGTGAGTATAGCCCTCCGTTCAGTAGATAAAGTAGACGAACCATATAGTAATCCCAATAGCTTCACAAGATGATTCCCTTAGTGAAACACACGAATCCCCAATCATCAGCTGAAGTCAAGAAGAAGGATACAAAATGAACTAACTTTTAATGGTCACACAGGCTTTTATGCAAGTCCCCATGCAAGGGGACATCCCTCAGGGAGGGACAAACATTAACCAATCACATACTGTAAAACCATAACACACACCCACAGTTCCCTCCCCAAGCTCTGGAGATAATTAAGTCTGATAAAATAATAACTTAATTATCTCCAGGCAGAAAAATCACCTTTTTCCCCAATAACTGGGACACCCCCTTATACTTGGTGTATCCCGACAAACATGTCCCCTGATAGCCCTGATCTGGGTGACTAACATATTCAAATTTCACCCAGATCGGTTCAGGGGTTCGCAAAAACTATGGAGGTCTTCTGTGACCGGCTCACCCTGGGCTGTATGCCTAAAACAGTTCCATGAGTTTGGTGGGTTTTGCCGGTCATTTTAGAAAGGGGAGAAAAACGAACAATCTACCGATGGATCCCCCTGGCTCTTAGCAGCGATCGTCTCCCTCTGTCGAATGCACCAAAGTACCGAATAGCGCTCTTCTAGCTATTCGGTAAGTAGAGTTCCAGCGTTTGTCTGTTTGAGACTGGTGTTGGGAAGTCGAGTGTCCGATTTCAGTTCCATACACTCGACGACCAAGTCCCGCTGCCTTTGTTCGCATGAACAAAGATGGCCGCGGTTTTCTCTGCTACGTGGCGTTCGGCAGACGAACGCTGGCCGCACAGAAAGAGGCATCAATTGAAGTAATCTTTGATGTTTAACGAGCCAGGGGGGTGGTCTTTGTTTGGTAGTTACCTCTAAAAGGGGGATTTCTTAACAAGAGCTATCTACTAAAAGGCTGAAAGACCCAAATTGGTCTTTCAGACAAATTTACTAATACCAAGTAAAGATTACTTAGTATTAGTAAATTATGCCCCTACTCGCTATACCGCGAGTAGGGGCATGTCTATTAAACAGTGAGCAGCCTAAGGTCCCCCATCCCGAGCCCCCACTCACGCGTCAAACTAAAGGGAGGACCTATTGCCCCCCCCCCGGCCCCCTGAGCGGCGGGTGGGGGCCCTAAATCAGAATAAGGAGGGGGGCACCTAATGTCCTCCACAGGCTGCTCACCGTTTAATAGACATGCCCCTATTCGCGGTATACTACTAAGTAATTTTAACGTAGTATTAGTAAATTTGGCTTAAAGACCAATTTAGATCTTTCAGCCTTTTGGTAGATAACTCCCTAATACCGTGGGAATTAGGGAGTTATCTACTAAGCGGCTGCAATAGAAGTCCCGAGGTGCCGAAGTCCCGAAATGCAACAGTCCCGAATTGCGAATATCCCGAATTTCGGAATGCCGAACCGAACCGAAAATTTTCCCCATGCACATGCCTAATTTTCACCATAGAAGTTGCCATCATAGACAATGGCTGAAGGGAATAGCTAGCTAAAGGACAAGTTACAGGCATTAGACGCAACTGTTCACATCTTCAAGAATTCGAAAGTTAATCAAAACATATGAAAAATAGGCTTATGCACAGCGGTGGCACAGCCATCCAAGGGCATCTGAGACCTGCTGACCGTGGTGGCGTGCACCCACCAAATGCTCCGACTGTTATTAAGCAGTTAGTGCTAGATATAGCCCCCCTACCAATGACACTCCTTGCAACCGGTTACTAAGACGCTAAGAGACAAAGGCGTTAGATTCCGCTGGTGCGTGGGACAAAAGTTGTCAGTGCAGCACAACGAGAAGTGTATTCACCTCACACAGATATCTGAAGCAGGGAAATTTCTCAAGGCACTGGACTTATCTGTACCTGACAACGTACCAAGACCTGATGCAAACACCTATCACAACTCTCTGTCATGGGACGTGGATGACATCCAGCCATTTTACCCCAAGCAGCAGCGCACAGCGTCGGCATGGCCATCCAAGGGAACCTGAGACCTGCTGACCATGGTGGTGTGCATCCACGGAATGCTCCAACTGTTATAAAGCTCTTAGTGCTAGATACAGCCTGTGACGGAACGCTGGCACTCTGAGTACCTCCGCAAATCGATGCTCCTAGCGCTTGCCGAGGACTCCGAGCACTCCAACCGACACCATCAGCACTGCAGACCCCACTTCCAGCGATGCAGCTGCGCCGGGGTCTCGCCGTCTCTCACCCACCCTGGATCCAAGGCCAGGATCCAGCTTCCAGTGGGTGAACCTCTCCTAAATCCAGAGAGCAGGAACCAGGAATAAAACAAGCTATTGCAAGAGCTTACTCTGGAGAGTAAGTGATTATAGCAATCCCCAGAGTGTAGGTATCCCTTCCCCCAAACATGAGCCAAGGCTTCAAGAAAGGTACAAGATGATCTGGTTTTAATGACCACACACTGGCTTTTATGCAAGTCCCCATGCAAGGGGACATCCCACAGGGTGGGACACAGTATAACCAATCACAGACAATACAAACAAAACACTCCCACAGTGACATCACAATCCCTGCTCTCTATCCTGGAGATTATTGGGAAGTAATCAAATTATCTCCCAGGACAGAGGCAAGACTCCATTAACCACATGGTTACAAAAAGACATAAAATTACACAATGTTACAATTACTACATAAAACATATCCCTGCAACATATCCCCAGATAGCTTAGATCTGAGCGCACATTATTATTGAATGGCGCTCAGATCACATACATACAATTCAATCGCCATGGAGCCAAAGTCTTTTGTTACACGAATTTGCTCCATGGCATAGCTATCTGGGGTAGCACTACTCACATACTGGAAGTCCCGAACAACCCGGCAGAAATACCCAAATAAACCTTATTGCAGGGTAAAATACAGCTATCAGCACAGGGGCCATAGTCGGAAGGCAGGAGGCTAGCCAGTAATCCCCTCCAGGCACAAGTGGCAAAGGGCACTTCGTCACACAGCCCCCCTACCAATGACTGTTTCCTAAGCTCTCTCTTTTACGTTAACTTCTGTGTTATATTTCCTGCTGACAGAGAATCCCATCTCACCACATCATGGTGCTCTTTCACGCATGACATGCAATTTTCTCTCAGGACTCTAGTACCCCCCTTCCCCCTGCGCCCCATCTGCATCGATTTAGCCCAATGTTCCTGAAGATTTCAAATTATAAAAGTGCAGATATCCCTAGCTTAAACTCAGACAGGAATTAAGTGATTTTGTGTGATGCAGTCACTTTATGTTTGTATGACCTTTCCTTTTTGTATGCACTTAAAATGTAGCGTAACATGACTATACCTGTATGTATATCCTAAACATGCCACTACAAAACTATTAAAATTCATTTTTTTTAAAAAGCAAGCTTATGGAGTACTAAATGTATTTATTTTGGGTATTTTTCTTCAACTTCACTTTAAATTTAACTTTTCATATTTTATTTTTGTACAATAAAATGCATAAAAAAGAAAATCCTGTCCGTTCTTTCAAGGACATTTGTCCACCATGTATAATTTGCTAAAGCTCATTACATTTGGGAAGGGGGTCTCATGTTTGGGGAAGCAAATAAAAAATATCAACATTTTGTTTGAGGACATAGAAAGGAGGACATGTTTCCTTATGATTATAGGAGTCCAGAGATCCTATTTGGAGTTTCCGTTAGTTCCCCTTAGCTAAGCCATGCATTTAAAGGTCAGCTTGCTGCCTGAGAGTGAGAGGTGATCGTTCTCAGCCAATGAGCTAAACCCTGCACTACCGGGCTTAGCTCAGACAGACAGCTTCTGGCTCCATAAGACAGAGAGTGAGTGGCACTGGGCACAACCATCCTGGATGACGGTAGGATTAATGAGGATATGAGTAACAGTGAGATGGTCGGATTGTTGATGGTGAGATAATGGTGAAGGCATGGAAATATGGGTAATGGTGGGATGGATAATAGTGAGATTGATGAAGGGATGGAAAGATGGGTAATGGTGGGATGGATAATGGTGAGATTGATGAAGGGATGGAAAGATGGGTAATGGTGGGATGGATAATGGTGAGATTGATGAAGGGATGGAAAGATGGGTAATGGTGGGATGGATAATAGTGAGATTGATGAAGGGATGGAAAGATGGGTAATGGTGGGATGGATAATGGTGAGATTGATGAAGGGGTGGAAAGATGGGTAATGGTAAGTCTGATGATGACATGGGTATTCGTGAGATGAATATCAGTGAGATTGAAGACGATATAGGTATTTGTGAGATTGGTAAAGGTAAGTGTAACGGCACCCCCAGGCATAAAGGGTTAAACTGCCATTTAGGAGATCTTCCCCTTCCAGAGACACAGGCACAGCTACTACAATAAGCTGTGTGGATACAATAAGCTGTATTGATACAATAAGCTGTGTGGATACAATAAGCTGCGTGGATACAATAAGCTGCGTGGATACAATAAGCTGCGTGGATACAATAAGCTGTATGGATACAATAAGCTGTGTGGATACAATAAGCTGTATGGATACAATAAGCTGTGTGGATACAATAAGCTGTGTGGATACAATAAGCTGCGTGGATACAATAAGCTGCGTGGATACAATAAGCTGTATGGATACAATAAGCTGTGTGGATACAATAAGCTGTATGGATACAATAAGCTGTGTGGATACAATAAGCTGTGTGGATACAATAAGCTGTGTGGATACAATAAGCTGTATGGATACAATAAGCTGTGTGGATACAATAAGCTGTGTGGATACAATAAGCTGCGTGGATACAATAAGCTGTGTGGATACAATAAGCTGTGTGGATACAATAAGCTGTGTGGATACAATAAGCTGTATGGATACAATAAGCTGTGTGGATACAATAAGCTGTGTGGATACAATAAGCTGTGTGGATACAATAAGCTGTAGTGCTGAGTTCCCTGGACTCTCCATATCACAGGGCAGCACTATTCATGGCAGGGGTAGTGCATGATGGGAGTGGTAGTCCTCTTACCCTGCAGTAGTCGGATCTGCCTCTCCAGAGCCTCTCTCTCCCTTTCCATGTCCGACAACAAACTGCCCCCCCCCCCGCGGCGCTCACTGTGTACGTCACTCACCGCGCCAACTTATGACGCGCCAGCCGCCATGTTGAAAGAGGGCAGAGGAGCCGCAATGTGGGCGAGGCTGAGGGCTAAAGGCAGCAGTTCCAGCCCCTGCCTGCAGGGAGAGCGGTATAGGAGGGCATGCGGACCCCGCGCTGTATGATATGCCGGGACTCCCAATGCTCTCAATGCCAGGACCTGCCTCCTCGCCAGTACTAAAGATGGCCGCCGGCAGCAGGCTGACACCTCTGGAAAGGGCGGGAAGCGCGTGACGTGACGGTTATCCTGGCAACGGCCAAGCTGGCCCGGTTAACCCCTTCACTGCCGGCAGCCTGTCCTGGGGAGAGGATAATGGGAGTTACAGTCTGTACTGGGGAGAGGATAATGGGAATTACAGTCTGTCCTGGGGAGAGGATAATGGGAATTACAGTCTGTACTGGGGAGAGGATAAGGGGAATTACAGCCTGTACTGGGGAGAGGATAATGGGAGTTACAGCCTGTACTGGGGAGAGGATAATGGGAGTTACAGTCTGTACTGGGGAGAGGATAATGGGAATTACAGCCTGTCCTGGGGAGAGGATAATGGGAATTACAGCCTGTACTGGGGAGAGGATAATGGGAGTTACAGCCTGTCCTGGGGAGCGGATAATGGGAATTACAGTCTGTACTGGG